ATTCTAGTGGAGATGTCACATGACTGATCCGATCCTAAGACCATGTCGTAGAGCTAACAGACATAGCGCATGTACTCCTTCACAACTCAATCCCACTACACACACAAACATACATAAACACTCACACACAGACACACACGCTCACACACACACCCTGTTTTTGTTAATGTTTCATTTATTACTACTGCCGTTCATTTCTTTTTCTTTTTTCTTTAGTTATTGTACTCTCTTGCATAGCTATATTGTAACCACCTAACTAAGGTATTTTGAAATGTCAATACGTGATCCGAGTGGGGTCTTGGTGTCCTGTTGTTTTTTTGATAAAAAAGACAACTCCCGCATTAGGAATATAACCTGTGTCGCGGGAGACTTTACAAACATACAAGAAACGGACACAAAGAACACCCAGACTCAGAACAACAATTTGTGGATCAGACAAAGTGTCGTCCCATGTGGGGATCGACCCACAACACTCAGCGTAGTAGTAAGCGGCGTGGCGACCGCTTAAACTACTACGCCATCCGTGAAGTCAAAAGTTTAGTTTAGTTGAGTTTTATACCTACATCAGGCACCAGCGGTCAACTACCGAAATTGTCAAATCTTGTAGCGTAATCGTATTTTCATTGTATGTATTTTTGTTTTAGTGAGAAATAAACGAAATTATTATTATTTAAAAATGTAATCTATATGTATACTAAATAAACTATTACAAATTATATTGATTGACGAAAATCTATGAAAAATACAAAGGTCCGAATTTAAAACTATCCCAAATACCAACGCTGTATTATATCATACATGATTGTGTTCAAAATACGTACATAATCACAAAATGTATTAAGGTATCAGTCGTAAATTGTGAATAATGTGACATATCATCAAGCTTACAATATCTACATGATATCCAATGAATTATTCATAAACAACCTCTGAACAACATCAAATACTACTTTTAATAGACCGCTTCCACCGTTATTAATGCTTCGCGAAGGGGCTCAAGTTAGTTTAGACGAGGCAAGTTCGCGTTAAATGCTGAATTTTAAAAGAACTCCATTCCACAAGAAAATTTACTGTAATAGGGTTCAAGGTAAAGTGGATATCCAAATCTCGTTGGTGCGACGCAATAGGATGCCATCAATCATGCTAAGATTACAAGGTTGACATGGCATCAATGCTGAGTTGGGGTGTTTTTTAAAATTCGAATGAGTTTTTTTCTAATTTAACGGGATGTGTTTAGATTTTTTTGTAAATGAAGCAATTCTTTGCGTTATACTAGCTGGTGCCCGCGAATTCGCGTGGAATTTGAAAAGCGCTGCCTTGGTGGGTTAGATTGCCGGACCGGGCAAAATTTCAAAGGGTTTTTCTGAGAGAAAAAATAGCCTAAGTTACTCCTTATATAGACAGCCTGGTAGTAAAATATGATCAAAATCTGTCCAGCCGTTTTGGAGATTACCTGAAACAAACAGACAGACAGAGAAAATATATTTGACATTACAAACAGACATTTCAATTTTATTTATTTACTAGCTGAGACCCGCGGTGTTACCCGCGTTTGTTGTTGTTTGCGGCGAAGCTAGTCTAAAAAAAGCCTAAGCCTAGCCTAGCCTAAGTTACTCCTTATGTCATCAGCTATCTGCCAGTGAAAGTCCTGTCGAAATCGGTGTAGCCGTTCCAGAGATAACCCGGAACAAACAGACAGACAGACAGACAGTCAAAAATTGTAAAAAATGATATTTTGGCATATGTACCGTGTAAACATACATATGCATTTATTAAAAAGCGGTTATTTTAGTATTACAAACAGACACTCCAATTTTGTTTATTTGTATAGATATAGATATATATCGACATATTTATGGAGAAAGTGTATGAAGTACACCTGGATAGTTGGCGCTTCCCTACTGTGGGCTTTTCAAAACACTTTTTGCCTCGCACCACCAGTCTGTGGAACGCGTTATCGTCTGCGGTATTACCGGACCAATACGACCTTTAAACCTTCAAGAAAAGAGTATACTTCTTCCTAAAAGGCCAGCTGGCGTTTGAGACTCCAGAGTTGCAGACGTTCATGGGCGGCGATGGTCACTTTCTATCAGGTGACTCGTCGGCACGTCTGCCCCTCCAATACAGAAAAAAAGAAACAGTGATTTTAGTAGTTGGAGAGCCATTCTTGGCCACATATGGGCCGGCTCTACCGGAGCAATTGGAGTGATTCCACGTCCTTGAGAAAACCGGTGTAAAGAAATTATTTTATTACTTTTGACCGGGTGAGTGTGGCAACCGGATCCCAACACCCCTCCTCCCTAACTTTGAGGGGAGGCTACTTTTGGCTTGCATATGTCTGTGGGTGGCAGTTATCACTTGCCATCAGGTGAACCATTTGCTCGTATACTTATAAAAAACCCCACTGTTTCACTAGCAGTCTAGTTTATTTTATTTATGTATTTTTACCATTTACATTTAACTTAATAATCCATGCGCATAAAGTGATTATGTATTTACAGTATCGTCATATTGTAAAATAAAAAGTAAATAACATTGCAATAAGAGTTCATTAATATAGTATAAAGTAGTAATACATTTGGATATAAATACAGTTAATTCAAATATAAAGGAAATAATAAAATTTGCTACTAAAAAATCTGTCCATCATATGAAATAAAAAGATAGCATGAAGAATAAAATCATGTACACCAATTCACTGTTAGAATAGCAATCATTTTATATTATCAGTAATATCCATTAAGTGAAATTTATAATGAAATAAACTGGAAATAAGAATAATTTAGTAAAGTTAAAATAGTGTCTAGTGTGGCTGTAGTACTGAAAATTATCCATATATTTTTTTAATGACAACACCCACTTCACCGTAGTGAGTAAACGAGAGCAGTGTTACAAAAATATTACCATATTTAAATTTTCTGTTTAAATAGCCCCTTCAAAATACCTATAAACAATAAAAATGTTTTAGAACAATAACTGGGATTACATAAACAAATAAAACTCAAGAAGGCAGTTAAAGTATTTTATCTGTTATGAATATAATCCTCTTTTTATAGCGATATTAAAATTGGACTGAATTAGGGTTGTGCACATGTGCAAGCTATACTTTAACCTCATAATATCGTTACAGAACCATAACTCGGCACGTTATGGCTCGGCTCGGGAGTGACACTAAGGCCTCAGAGAAAACCAGTATGCAGCAATTCTTAAGTTGCATTTCATCAAGTGAAGGAGGTTCCCGGAAGCGCAACCTCACCACCATTCGAGGACTTCCCTTCGCATCGAATTAACACAGAAAACACCATAAAAAACATCCAAAGAAATCGACTAGATCTTGGGATCATAAATCGGAGTCAAAAACAAGTTTAAAAAAATTTGGAGTAAACTTTACCTGAAATATTATAGTATAGCTATTTTACTGTACTAACCTAAGAAGTAGTATAGCTACGAGTGTGTGGGTGAGATTATTTTTAACAGTAAAGGAGACATAAAATCTTAAGGAGACTTCGAAAGGATTATCTTTGCTTGCCCTTATTTTTATTATTTTAATGGCTAATTGTGAACCCTTGCTTTACATCTGGTATCCCTAAAAATTCACTCAAATACATACATTTTTTTTCACTGACTGCACTTATTGTAAAGCTAAAGAAATTATTTATGAAGATCTGACGTCTTTATATAAAGCTTATTTTTGATATACATATTACACAATTGTTTGTTGTTATAATATTATTTATGATTATTCAGAAATATAATAATAAAGTCCAGTCCTATTTCCAACATTAAATTAATTCGTGAAACGACAAAGTGGTCTTGCAATTTAACTTCTGTGGACTTTCGCTTAGCCCAGGACGCAGGACGCAGGACTTTGATTGATGACCTAAGTTTCATCTGTTGGCCTTTAAATTAGACTGCGTTCTCGAATATCACGATATAATAAATTAGTTATTCTAAGGGTTTTGTTATAATGTTGTGGGTTTTGTTTTGTCTAAGAATAACGAATATCACGATATAATAAATTAGTTACTCTAAGGGTTTTGTTATAATGTTGTAATGTCTAAGAATAACTGCTATATGAAAATTTTGATTACCAAAAAAGGGAAACTAATTTATTATTATTATTCTGTTTATTACATTTATATATATATTGATTACATTTTAAATATATAACAAAAGAAAAAATACTTTGACTTTTTTATTAATATTCTCTTTATTTCATTAAATATACATATGAATTACATATAATAAAATAATATTTTTTTATTATTGAGTCAATCAGGCATTCTTTCCTTTTTTAATTTTTAATGGAATGTAAAATTTTATTTCATAAACTCCAACCAGTCATTGTTTATATGGTATACTATTGTTTGTTTTCCATTTTGTGGTAAAATTTAAAAGGAGAATTTAAGTGATGATGTTAAATGAAAGGTGGTACCTAATTATTACACTGTTTATTCACAACACACAGAGATGTTATACCTACAAATGATGCACAACAAGTGAACCGCGTCCTACGTGACAAAAGGCTTTTTATAACCGATGCGACCAAAGTGAGCGTCGTCTCGTTGCCTATGTATTAACCCCTACACATTCCTCCCCTTTTGAGAAAAAAAACTGTCATACAACAAGAAAAAAGAAAAAAAAAACCTTAAAAATAACCAGCACAATAGAATTATATAAATAGGGACATATCATTTCAACAATAGGGATACATGATACATCATTTAGCAAAATTGCAAAACAGTAAGTACTGAAAATAATTGTTATGAGAACGATAAAATGCTGAGTACTGTGCAGGTGCACAGTTACTGTATAGTATTACTTATATTCTATGTAAAACTATCAGCGTGGAAATAAAATGTCCGGCGCTAGTTGCCATGTCACGGGAATTGCTATACTAAACATATCATATTATACTGCATAACACACACGACAAAATATGTATATGATAAGTTTGTTTACACAATATCAAAAATCTGACAATATTACACAATATATGTTCACACATAGGGAACAGTAGCAGGCTGTTGAGCGGCTTTGTCCACCTGGCTCAACGATACTGCGGAGATGAGCTCCTTACGAGCCCACTTCTTTGCCCCAATATGACATCTTTTGAACACAATCCATACTGCAACGATAAATATAATCGCTAGTGAACTTGCCATAACAAGTCCGTATAATTCAATCCTTTGCTCCAAAGAACTGTTACTTGCGCTATTTGCACCATTTTGGGCGATTACAATCTCCTCCTGTTTACTGTATGCTTTACCCATTTTTTAATTTTTTAAATAAACAAATAATAGATTGACTGTTACTAGATGTAAAGGTAATGTATATTGTACAGTAAAATGTAAATAGTGAAGAAAAAAATGTTACAATTTATAGAATAATTTCTGCTTACAGTCTAAAATTCGTAATTCTAAATAAAGGTGTGACTACAGTGCTACACGATGTGACGCTATGCTACGTTATTCATTGTTTTTTAACACTACTTGCTATCTTTATAGTACAGAGCTCAAATCTCTTAGCATTACCGTCGCATGCACTGGGTGAAACCTTAATCATTAAACCTTACTGGGCGTTTAATTATACGACCGGAGCGAGTTGTGTCAATGTTAGAAGGCACGGATGCGGGTTTGATTCCCGCCTGATTACGAGGAACTATATTATCTGAACTTTCTGTACCAACATCGACATGAACCGATCCGTTATCTGTTAAAATATACGTAGGTTTAAGTCTGTCAATAGAAATGCTGACTGCCCTACCAGGCAACTGTATGACGTACACCTTTGCCCTCCTTTTTAAAACGCGGTATGGGCCGTCGTAAGGGGGTTTCAAAGGTCTACGTACAGTGTCGTCGCGAACGAACACATATTCAACCTTAGAGAGGTCTGGATGGACAAAACATTTACGTGAGTTATTATGTGATTTAGGCACGGGTTTCAATGACTGTATAGTCTTCCTGATATTCTCTACTAGGCTATGAGGTTCTGAGCAACCTACTTGCGTAGTCTCGTAGAAATCACCAGGTAAACGCAATGTACGACCGTAAGTTAACTGTGCCGCAGAAACTCCGCTGTCACTCCGAAATGCAGCCCTAAGTCCTAATAGTACGGTAGGCAGTTCCTCTACCCAGGACTTAACGCTCAAGCGCGCCATAAGGGCGGCTTTTAAGGTTCTATGCCATCGCTCCACCGCTCCGTTAGCTTGTGGGTGATAAGCCGTTGTTCGGATCCTGTTTATTCCTAGTAATTTTAAAAGGTTTTTGAACAGAAAACTTTCGAATTGGCGACCTTGATCGCTTGTAAGTCGCACAGGTGTACCATAGCGACAGATCCAGTTATTATAAAAAACTTTCGCTACCGTTTCTGTGTTTATATCACGTATGGGAAACGCTTCAGGCCACCGTGTACATCGATCGATTATCGTTAGACAGTATCTATACCCATCTTCTGAAATTTGTAAAGGGCCAATTATGTCAATATTCACGTGCTCAAAGCGATTAGATTTTGGATATTGTTCTAAATTAGAAATAGTATGCCTGTCAATTTTGGCTTTTTGGCAATTTATACACGTTTTAGACCAATTATTGATGTCAGTATTCATGTTTGGCCAAAAGAACTTTTCGGTGACTAATTTTCGCGTGACGCGTATACCTGGGTGGCTTAAATTATGGACACTTTCAAATGCGTTACGTCTAAATTCATGGGGTATATATGGCCTTGCATTTTCGGTAGATACGTCGCAATAAATTGCTTTATTACACGTAGGTAAATATAATTTCTTTAAAATAATACACGTGTTGTTATTTGCGTTAGACATTATCTGGGTCACATAGTCATCCGATTCTTGTATTTTTGCAATTCTGTCGTAATCAAGAACTGTAGGACAATAAACTGTTTCTATGCGCGATAAACTGTCTGCAATGATATTTTTATTTCCGCTTAAATGACAAATATTTGTTGTAAATTCACTAATGTAAAGTAAATGCCTAATTCTACGGGGTGTTTCGTTCGATTCTTTACCGAGTTTAGAAAAGGCGTATGTTAATGGTTTGTGATCGGTGTAAACGGTTATCTGTCGTCCTTCGAACAATTTTCGGAAGTATTTTAGAGACATGTATATAGCTAGTAATTCACGATCATATGTACAATACTTTTGTTGGGCTGTGGATAACTTTTTTGAGAAGTAACCTAAGGGTTCCCAAACACCATCGACTTCCTGTTGCAAGACTGCGCCCACACAAAAATCAGAGGCGTCGGTCATCAAGGATAGTGTCGTATCAGTCCGGGGGTGTGACAATGTAGCGGCCTCTTTAAGGCCTTGTTTACATCGTTCAAATGCTTCGCTCGCTTCGTCCGACCATTGAATTTTTGTTTTGTCGTTCTTTTTTGAGCTACCGAGATACTTATTGAACAAGGACTGATATGACGCTGCGTTGGGCAAATGAGCGCGGTAAAAGTTGATCATACCTGTAAAACGACGCAGCCCCTCAACAGTCTCTGGTTTTGGGTACTGCATGATGGCCTTGACCTTCTCCTCGGACGAACGTATGCCTTTAGCTGATACTTGATATCCTAGATATTCTAATGTAGTTTGACCGAATGCACATTTAGACAAATTTATTGTTATACCGTGGTTATGTAATCTCTGAAAAATAATAGTTAAATGTTCGACATGTTGACTAATATTTTCACTACATACTAATGCGTCATCAATATACGTATAAACAAAATCTAGACCTCTAAAGATGGAATCCATAAACCTTTGAAAACTCTGTGCTGCATTACGCAATCCGAAAGTCATTCGGGGAAATTCAAACAAGCCGAAGGGTGTTATAATCGCGGTTTTTTCTATGTCTCCCGGCGCTGTTTCAATAAAATGATACGCTCTATTTATATCGATTTTAGAAAAAATATTTTTGCCAGCCATGATGTACGTAAAATCCTGTAAACGCGGAATTGGATATCTGTCGGGTTTTGTGATAGCATTCAATCGGCGGTAATCGCCACACGGTCGAATGTCACCGTTCTTTTTCTCAACAACGTGAAGGGGACTTGCCCACGCACTCTTTGACGGCCGACATATACCCAGTTCCTGCATTTTCTGAAACTCTGCTTTAACGATTTTATAACGCGCGGGGGGAAGCGGTCTAGCTCTAGCAAACACGGGTGGCGCCGTAGTTTCGATACAATGTTGTACGGGACTTGGAGAAGACTCAGTGAATGACATCGGTTTGGAAATGCTAGGGAATTTTAATAATAGCTCGTGATAGGGATGGTTCGTGCTAAGGGAAAGTACAGAAGGTTCGTTCGTACAAGTTAAAGATGCGATAACTTTCAAATCCGTTACCTGGTCGATAAGTTTTCGTGAAGCGACGTCAACGAGAAGCTTATGGTAACTTAAAAAGTCAGCTCCCAATATTGGCTGCTTCACGTCGGCAATCACGAAATCCCATCGATAGGGTCGGCGTAATTTAAAGTTTAACACTAACGATTTTTGTCCATAAGTTTTAATTTCCGTTCCGTTCGCCGCGAATAACTTGTAATCACTGCACTCGCTAGCACTGCACTTTCTTTTCACCGGTAGAACAGAGATATTGGCACCCGAATCTACCAAGAAGGTAAGTCCACTGTTTATGTCCGTTATTTTAAGGCGGTGTCCAGGAGATATGGCGCAGAGCTCCGCCGTCGGCTGCGCCTCACTTAGTTTTCCTGCCGCGACGCTTTCCATGAGCAGGGGTCCACGCACTTCCTTGCACGCGCGTGAAACCGATGGTGGTAATAACAAAGCCAGTCTGGGCTGTCTGGGGTTCGTTGCGGTGTAGTCCGATCACACTTCCCTTCGCGGCACTGTGCGACTAACGTGTGACTTCATATGCTAATAATTTAAATATTGTTTTCTGTGTTTTTCTGCGACTAGTTCCCGGTTTGCGGGCGGCTAAAGGTTGTGTATAGTGTTTTAAAGAATATCAGTAAGTTTTTATTGTTTTTTAAACAGAAATATAGTGCTGAATTATTTTATTACGACTATTGGTGAGTAAATTTATTTTCTTTCTAAAAGTGGGTAGGAGGTATCCTTTGTTTATATTGATTTTTCTCTACGTATTGTTTATTTTTAAACTTGTTCCTTTTGAAATTGTTTGTTTGGCTATGTCGGTCGTTAGCGAGTTGCCGGACCCCGGCGGTACAAGTGAATTTCTAACACCAACCGGGAAAAGGACATTTAACGAAATGTCACCTACGGATTTCTCGCCGAAAGACAATAGAAGTAAACGAATTAATAATTCGGATTTAAGTGGAAATGTTTCGTCTCTTAACGGTCGTGATAACTGTGGGGAATACAATTACTGCGAGTTAGTCTCACAGGCTACCGAGTACTTGGCAAAAATCAATGAATTAGTTAATGATCAGGGATCTCGGATGAATGTAGGTAATAAAACGGCAATTATGGATATTACTCAACGAATTACCGGTATCGTATCTTTGTTAGCAATAAAATCCTCTAGCAACGAAACGAAGTTAGCGAATTTTGAGCGACAAATGGAGGGTATCGCAACTCAACAAACGAGTTTAACGTACGCGGACAAACTTAAGCTTCGATTACCACCTAAATCTGCTCCGTGCCCGGTACCTACTGAAGCGCGCGTTCCTAGGCCTTGTGTTATTGCCTATCCCACTACGGAACGCTTAGCGGACTATGCGACCTCGTCAGCAACGAAACAAGCTCTCATGAAGGCTATTAAACCGAGCGATGAGGGATTTCAAATTGTAGGCGTTAAAAAAACCTCTAAGGCAGGCGTCGCGTTACGTGTAGCTAACGAACGGCAGCTTAAGAAACTGGAATCTGTGGACGCCATTAAATCAGTAGGGTTGCGCTTAGAAAAACCGAAAGGCCGTAGGCCCCGTATAATTGTAAAAGACGTACCCGGTTCTATGGAAGATCGTGCCTTCCTAACAGCTTTATACCGTCAGAATATCAAGGACGAATTAAAATTAAGTGAGAATGATTTTATTAAGTCAACCAAAATTGTTAGGCATCGTAAACTAGAAAATGGGCGTCAATGGATAGGCTTAGAATTAGAGGCAGCAGTTCGGAAACATCTAGCCAACACAAAAGATAAACTTTATATAGACTGGGCCACATGTAGATTCATAGACGATATAGAAGTAGTTCGTTGCTTAAATTGTCAGCAATTCGGTCATGTACAAAAGTTTTGCACTATTAAAACCCCTACTTGTGCTAATTGCGCCGCCGCACACGAAACGCGAG